CGTATACGGCAACGGGCCTAAAAAAGTCAATATTATTTAGAGTAAATGACTGTGACAAACGGAAATTTATACCTGTTGAAATTGTGTGGAGATCAGGTGGAGGAACAGATCCAGAATTCACCAATCCGGCTGCGCTATTTGGTGGATTCACGCCACTAACTTTGCAAAGTTCGCTCTCCAATTTCTGAAGTGTCGTCGTCCGCACCTCAGTGTTTGGCACATTATGAGCAATCGCTGGTGCTGATGGAGATGCGGCTTGCGATGGACTGGGAAGCATCACAGCCGCTATGCACTCAGGTGCTGCAGTATTCAGCCCCTAAAATTGAAAAAATAATCAAAACCCGTGAGCAGCAAAAATACATTCTACTGGAAATAACCAAAAATAAAAAAATTACCGAAATTTTCAGCGAAGAACTTACTGTAGCAAAGGGCTGAGGCTTTAATGACTGAGGAGTAGGGGCTGGTTGCGGGTGAACCTCACTTTCCAAAAAGGAAGTCGGCGCTGAGGGAGAGGGGGCAGTGACTGCATTACTACTTATGGTATCCTCTTCACTGCGGGAAATCACTGTGTCGGCAGTCGGAATCGATGGATGTGTCACCGGCTGCACCTACAATCACCAACACATTATAAGTGAGCTGCACCTTCAGAATCTGCCTTACTGCAAAAAATCTTCATAACGGCTGGCAGCTCTCCGTTCCACGCAATTCAGGTATGCTTGCTGTGAAGAGGCAGTACATGCAACTACTTTTTGCAATCCCTGCAGTAGCGTACAGAATAAACAATTTGCACAAAAGGAGCAAATACAGTTAGTTTTCGCAAGATTCTGTCACAAGGCAATTCCCGCCTTCAACCCGCCTTTGTTACAGCCCACTATTTGAGCACTTAATTTTAAAAACTCATTGTGCGGGAAAGAAGAAACTGTGGCAACGACGTACAAAAATGGCACAAAGTAATGGAGACTCGTTCAAACAGACACCGAAGCAGTTTGCCAAAATTATGGCTCTAAGAGGACCGAATTCTGTCAGCGTTGCTCAAACGTTTTAACTCGTTTCAAAGCAACACTGCGACTGTCACACTGCCTACAGTTCTCCATCGCCCAAACAAGTGAGAGGTGGCTCTTTAAGTCGGTGCTAAACTACTTTTCACAATGACCTCTCTTTCGTTACTGGACACGTCACATCCCGTTTATTCGTTTTTAAGGGTCGGATTGCAGCTTCTCCAGGTCCGAGTTCTAAATCCCACATCTCTCATCATGCACAGCAGCTAATCTGAAACGCAACCCTACTATTACAATTTTCAGAAACACACTTCTGAGGTAAGCTACACCAGTAAAAAATAAAGTTGGCCGCTGAGTCTTACGGAATCGCTGAATAGCTGCTCATTGTACGAAATGTTCAACAGTTTAAGGATGAGAGGAGCAGGAAAAAAAAATCTTTATTTGGCATCATTTTTTGGAGACAGGGGTCTGTGGCTAGCCCGCACTGGAAATAACTC